ACTGATGACGATTATTCTCCACAAAAAGCAGGTGATGTAGACAGTCTAGTTGCTTCTATCCAAGTCTCACTACCATAAGAGCTGGTGCAAAAGATTACATGATCATTAATTTAGTAGTGAGAGACTACGTCTCATTTCTACGTCGATCGGTCAGCGCACGGCTAAGTGAATGCCCTCTGTGATTCTAATATGCGCACAGCTTCCTCATCACATCGTCTCCCGAAAAAGTTGAACGCATTATCATAGAACACCGATCTAACTATTATAACAAAGACCTACTTGTAAAAAGCCTGAGATAAGAGAACGAGCGAGGGCCAACGACCAAAAATCTCACTGAGCACAGCGGTACCGACATTCCTCCGTTCCAATTCATCGTAAAAAATCTGAAAAAGACAAAACACAGCGAAGCTAGTAAAAGCGCAATGTTTGTCTGGTTATTTTCATTGACGAAAAACAATCGAGGATAAGTCAAATTCGAGAAAAAATGCAAATGTTGGCTTTTTATCGTCACTTACATAGAAAAACATAATTTCAAGACAGATTGGTTTCATGAATCTAAAGAGGCCATTGTGGTAACATCCTAATATAGGGTTTATCACGGAAGCCAAACCCCCAGATTTCTGTATAACGTGGCCGGTGGTAATGGCAGTTTAGTTAATTAATTAATTAAACTAATTTTCAATCATCGCAAGTTTTTTCATTGCTATATATTATACTTTTTAAAAATAATTTTATCTACTATTTCCTGTTTTTATTAGACATATTCCTTTTATTTTATCTTGTGCGCCCCCGTATTGTCCTACCCGTACAACCTCTACTATCACCGGTCACGTAGCACAGAATTATGGGGATTTGGTTTCGTGGTGAGCTCTCTAATAGACTGTTACCGCCAGAGCTGTCGCAAGTGAAGATGAAAAGTCATATTAAATACACACACACGCCTAGATACTGCATCAAGTAGACCGAACTATGAAATAAATAATGAATGACTGCGGAGAGTTTAGGGCTTTAGCGTCAATCAGAGTGACGGTTAAGCTGTCTAAGTAAAACCAGTAACTTGAATTTGACGCAAAACTGAAAAAGAAAGAGAGATAGAGGGAGAGAGAGAGAGA